GTTGATTTTAATCTTTTCATACAAACCCTAATTACTAGCACATGAATATAAAGCATTTAAATTGCGAAAAATAAAAATACTAAGCTATTACATGATTTGTGGGGAGGGGTGTACAAATTGAATGGGGATTGCAAGAATTTAAAGCCTAATTAGTCTATTACAACCATATTGAATTTATACAATAATTGAAATAAATAAATGTATAAAAATAAATATGCAAGAATGTAAATGCAAAGATAATGGATCTTTTTGTTTGGATTTTTTATGAGAAAGAGGGAAATTGTTTTAACCTAATTAAGTTAAAGAAAATAATTAATTAAGTTTAAATTTATTAAGAAAAGATTTTTTAAATAAAACCCTAATTCTATTTAGTTGATTAAAAGAAAATAAATTTAGAAAAAAAGTATTTTTTGGTATTTTTGTCTTGAAAGTATTTATGGCATCATGAAATATTTTTAGTCTTTTTTTTATATCAAAAATAATATATTTTAATAGATGTAAAAGAAAAATAAATATTAACCTATTTTTAATTAAATTTACAAGGTGATTTATAATAAATAAATAAAGTATAATTAATAAAAATATTTTTTTAGTGAGAAAAATAAAATAAACTAAATTAAAATGAAGATAAATTTTTTTAATATTTTTTATGATTTTTAATATTAGTGAAAAATAATTAAGAAAAAAACAAATAAAATTAAGAAAATAAAATAAATTGGGCCAGGGGTGCATAAGCAGGCAGGGAAGTTCGTTAGTAAAAAAACATAAAAAGGCCCAAAGGCCAAGGCGCCCTGCAAAAAGGTCAGGAAAATGTAAAAATATGTAAAAACACAAAATGGGTACCACTGGGGCTCGAACCCAGGTCCCAAAGGTTAACAGGCGCGAGCTTTACCACTGGGGTGGCTATACATTCGTTTATATAAACAAAACAATAAATATGTAAGGCAAATCAAGTCCGTATGACTTCATCTTCAACCTTCAGCCGGTGTACCTGTAACTTATTCATTTCTCAACAAAAATGGAAGATGACAAAAGAAAAGTTGTTGTATTCTTCCTCGTGAATCTAACCATGTAAATAACTAAAGCTAAAAGTCAAAGATAAATAAGAATTTCTCTGGCCCTAATTTGAACCCTAAAAATTTCAGAAACTTCAACTCTAAAATTCTCTAAGCTCAGGCCATGTAAATGCAAACTATGGATATGTATAGTTTCGTGGCAATGAGGTCTACATTTTATCTTCACAAATGCAAGCCTAACAATACCTAAGTAATGAGATATAAGTTCAAGAAAAATACCTCAAAACTGGAAATCGTGAAATGCAAATGAGCTTGATTCAAAGTGCTGCAAGGATCAGGTTAGCTTCCTTGAGGTCCCAGGAAGCTAATGCAATGATTAGCTTGAGCTGAAAGTGGCTGAGGAGCTTTGGAGAAGTCAAGTTGCAGACCCCTGTTTTTTAAAAATGGAACTTGATGATGGAGATGTTACAGTTGAGCAAATGGACTTTGGATGGTTTGTATTTGATGTTTAGAAGCTTTTGGAAGTGAAAGGCCAAAGAGCACACGAGGGGATTTGGAGTTTGATATGTAAAGTCAGAACTTGCACAACAATGGTGTTTTGAGACAATTTCTGGCTAGAGGGAATTTGAGTGAGTTTTAGGGTCTTTTTTTGCTCGTGTTAGCTCACAAATAGTGCTTATATTTATAAGCAACAAGTTTGGAGACTTGTTGTTGATCAAAATTTGAATTTGCATCCTTAAGCTAAACATGTGATTTTTTGAGAAAATAAGTTTCAATGCCTTGTGTACTTGCTAAGATAGAGTGGTTATGCTTTAAACACACTTGATTCTGACTTTGTAGATGAAATGTGATCATAGGGAACAAGTTAGAGGCTCAAGAGTGGACTTTATGCATAAAGCTTGCTTTTCAAGAATGGTATTGTTAACTTTCTTCCCAAAATGACAATGTGAATTGGATAAAGCTTAAATCACTTGGATTATAGCTCAAACGTTTATGTAATCCATTAATTATATAGTGACAAACAAGTTTGAGGCCTACAAAGCAAATATTATGCAGCCTAACATTGATTTGCATTTGTGTTCATCATGAAAATGACCTATAATTCAAGTGACAAAACACCAACTTCATCTCTTCGGTTCTCCCTACTCAAGAATGATCTCAAGGAGTTCTTGGACATTTTGGAAAGATTGCAATGTTCTATTCAACTCATATTTGAATTGATTTTGAATATTCACCTTAGAACTATGTGAAAAATTGCCATGAAGTTAGGTCAAAAATCTGCCTAACTAGGGCAAAATTTCACTAAGTCTTTTTTAGTTCATGAGCATGTATTCATAAAATTATAACTTGAGATCAAAGCACTTTTAGGAGAAGTTATATGAATAAAAGTTGTAGATTTCATGGATATCTACAACTTTCATGTTGGAAGTTTCCTTTGAATCATCTCGCATCATAATGAAAAAATTGCTCAAAGTTATGAAAAAACATGAAATTTCCAACACATAGAAAAATTTCTAAGTTTAGAAATTTTGAGTTTTCAAAATGAAATCTTGAATTTTTGATTTCTTGATGAATAAGTTTCATATTTTGACATGTTTTGATGAATTATGATTTTTGGAACTTGAATTTGACCAAAAAGTCAAAGTTTGACTTTTCAGTATACAATTGACTTTTGATCAGTTGACTGCAAAATTCATCTGTCAATCCAATAGATTTGCAATGTTTTGAATCATGTCATTAGGTCAAAATGATGCAATTGGACTCTTGAGATCATTCCTTAAACCAATTGACCATTTTCTAGATCAAAAATCAGAAATTGCCCTTTCCTAGTCAAAACCCTAATTTTGACCATTTTGCCCTTTTGGAGATTTGATCAAATTTCTTGAGGAATTGTGGTCCAAACTTTATAAAATGATACATATGTGTTTAAAATATTGTTGTGGATCAAAAATTATGAATTTTGACTGTAAATTGGCCATGGTTGACTTTTTCCTCAATACAATTGATTTTTAGGTCAACTGCTCAATTGACTGAGCAAAAATGTGATCCAAGGGTTGAAACTTGACATGAGTCATATTGGGGGTCCATAATGGTCCATGAAAGTCATATGAAACATTTATAGTTCAAAAATTTTTGTGCAAACTCAAACCTTAATTTTGGTCATCAGTGCCTAAGGAGGTGTCTTGAGCTGATCAAACCCTAGTGCAGTCTTGAGCCCAAGGAGATCTTGTGAGAAAATTCTTGATAAGTGAGAGGACAAATTTTGGGGTACAACACAGCACCATATAGGATAATATAGATACTTTATTATCCTCAAGGTTTATTTTTCTTTTGTGACTTAACAGAATATAATAGTCCAATTCAGCTCAGGCGCGATGTCGTATACTTCCTCAAAGAACATCTCATCCGACATGTTGTTTCAGATGTTGAACTACTTCAACTCAACATGTCCCAATATACAATAAGACTTCTTGCTCAACTTGTTCTTCATAGCAAGATAATCACGTCATATTTAACATATTGTTGCTCTATTAGTTTTATCAAACATAATGCCAATCATAGAATTAGAGAATTAACACATGTACATACATGTCTTATATTTTAGTGACCTCTAACCAAAATCCAAAAATATGTCTTGTTTCTTTCGTTTCTTTTAAAAGACAGGGTTCCCAATCAAGAAGTTCAGGTGATGGTCTCTCAATTAGGGTTGTGAGTTGCTCAGGCCAAAGACTGGTTCTCAAATGTCTATTTTTCAAAGTTGTGATTTATAATCTTAGGTCACACTATCCTGAAGCTTCATTCAACATGGTTAATGCGAGTTTGGTTGCTTTTTTTTAAGACTCTTCAAAATAGGTTCATGTGTTTATTTTCATGCCTTCTTAAACGAGTAATTTTAAGTTATGACAAGTGTGAGTATGGTTTAATCAATATTTTACCATCTCAAGTTCATAAGTGCATCAAGGTTTTTTGAAATGCAAGAAAATATCAAGTTTGCAAGATGATTCAAAGTTGGTGTGACCAAAAGTCAACATTCGCAAGTTCAAGTTCAAACAATCATATTTTCTTCATTATTCAATATTTTTGAGTGGTTCTTTTTGCATATGATTCCATTTGACATCCTTTCCAACTTCTCTTTACAAGTCGAAAACTAACTATGTGTAGAAGGCCATAAAAAATTTGAGTATATTAGAGGTCGCTTTATGACTTTGACCAAATTTCAAGTGACTTTCGTCCAACTTTCAAGGATCATAACTCTTTTAATTTTCATCATTTTAGGACGATTCTTTTTGGATAGCATCACAAATGGCGTTATCTACAAGATTGCTTCAAGGAACGAGAGCAAACTGTGCTTAGAAAGTCATGAAATTTATTGAAACATTTTAGGTCATTTTTTAACTTATAATGTTTTTAAAATCTAAATTCCAATTCATGTTACCAATTTTCTAACGTCATGATTTTTGTCTCTAAAGCTTTATTTTTGTGTTGAGATCTTTCATCAAGTGTTGAGTTTGAAGATTTCAAAATTAATAAAGGATTGCAAATATTTTTCAAGTGGGAAGATCATTCAATTTCTAGATAAAAAATAGAGAGAATTTCTTACTTCCATGAGTTTGGAAATTGCAAGTTAAAGGAAGACTCAAATTGTTTCAAATTTCAAGCTTCTTTTCCAAATTAAAAGTTTCAAGGTCATTCTTTACAAGATTTCAAGCACTTCTTAAGATTATATTCAAAGTTCAATTTTGTAAAATTCATTCAAGTTCATATTTTTCTCAAATTACAAAGTTCCCTTCATCCTCAAATAAATTCACGAATGTCAAAGAGATATTCAAGTTTCACATCATTCAAGTCCAATTCAAAATTTAAGGGAACTAATGTGAATTGCAAGTCAAGTTCTAAATCATTCAAGCATTCAAAGAATTTATCAATGGATACATGTTTTGAATTACAAAGGAAGTGTGCTAAATTTACAAGTACAATTTCAATTTATAATTGCAAAACTCTTCTATGGCCTAATTTCAAGCTACAATGCCAATCTACAAGAACAAATGAAGCGTTCTCTTTGCCTAAGCTTCCAATTGTATCATAAACTTTGAGTTCACACATCTTTGCAAGTCCTTCCGAAGTTCCAAGCAAGTATGACCTCGATTCTCTTTACATCTCAAGGTCACACCATCCATCAACACATGAAAAAAGAAATGAAGAAGGTGAAGTTAGCCATCTCAATTCCATAGCCCAAAATTCAAAGATTTCATTCAAAAATCTCTCAACAAAAAAACATCACAAAGTCCAACAATTTCCAACAAGCAAAACAACAAATACCACAATTTCGATAAATCCAATAATATACGTTAAAATCAGGCCCAAGATTAGGATGGAAAATTAACATCAAAACAATACAAAAGCAGTGCAAGACAATGGAATTCTTGGACCTACAGAGCATGTTTTGGGTTTGTTTTTGAGCAGAAAATTTCAAGGCTTTTTCTTTCATAAAAATTCAACCCCAATTCAGTTTCAATCTCAGCCCAACTATTTCACAAGAGATTTCATCTAAAACCCAACTCTCAAACTCTATTTAAACATTCATTTGGCATTGATTCAAGGGACTGATCGAAGAACCCAAAACACAAAAACGAAAAAGTAAGCTTGCCTGACCTGAGACTTGAACTCACCGGAATCCCTTGCTTGAACCGTGCCTCCACCGTGCCTGAGTACAAAATCACCGCTCGGAACCCTTGACTCTCCGGAGAATCTCCGTCTGCACCCTTCAATCGTCGCCGTGCTCCACCCTTTTTATATCAGAAGGTTGCTTTTCTGCTATAGAATCCGAATTCACCACTATTTCTTGAAATCTGATTGGTTTTGTTGATATTCTGAACAAAACTCTTTGAACTTCATTTGTAGATTTGCAGTTTTTAAGTACTTTATTTGAAAAACTATTCTGAGAAACGAAACAAGGAGGTTGAGACAAAGAGAAAAATGTATAAAAAAATTGAATCGGACACTTTTCGCGGCAGCGCCGCCGTGAGATTGGTCGGCCGCCGTGAGATTGGCCGGCCGCCGTGATGATGATGATGTTTAGATAAGAGAGAACCGTGGGTTCTTTATGGATAGGAGAGAGGATTTTTTTTATTTTTTTGGAAAATGATTTTAAAAATCTGAATATTAATGTTTTGTTATCATTCAACTTCCTTTCTCTCGCCTTGAGATTTGCGCCACTGGTACGAGAAGGACAAGTGGGCCCTCCGCCACTTGTCCTCATCTGAAAAGATGAAAATGATATTTGATTTTCTGTGTCTCTGTCTATTGTTTTTATAATACACTCTCATTCTGGATCATTGATCCTATATAAATGTGTCCATTGACTTGTGTATTATTTAGTGTTTTGATATACTTTGTGTATTTCATCAATTAATTCCATTTAATTAACCATTTTAAAATTGTTTTTAATTGATTTTTTATTACATTTTATTTTCTTTTTGTGATTGGTTCAGACTTATTGATAATTGGTGATATCTTGGGTCAATTTCCTCAACCTCATTAAATCTTGGATGTTGGTAGGTTGAAAAATCAAATCCACCAAAAGGGGTGAATGGTATTGATGATAGTTGAATCCCTTTCTTGATTTTTGTCTTGAGATTATGGTTTCATTGTGACATTCTCCTTCATCTTCATCTTATCCTCTTCTTCTTTCCTTTAAGTGATCATTAGTGGCTCAAACTTTATGTTTTAATGTTCAACTATGATTGATTATTGAACTATGGTTCAAAACCTTTGAAGCTTGTTGTTAGGAGACTTTGGTTCTATCAATCCTCTAACAAATTTTCATCAACTTTGGTCTAAGTTCAATCTTTAATCATCATTGATAATTTATTATGGATTCTTTTTCGTTCATCTTTTTCTTCTTCTTTTTTTCTTTAAATGACCATTTGTGGCTTAAACTTAGGTTTGAAAGCCCAAGTATGATTGATTATTGAACTATGGTTCAAATACCTTTGAAGGTTATTGTTAGGAGGTTTTGATTATATCAATCCTCTAATGGATCTTCATCAACTTTGACCTAAATTCATTATTCAATCATCATTGATCATCCCTTTTGATCAATAATCAATTAACTACTAACTTTCAACTTCTAACTTCTAACTCTAGCTTTATGCCTCTTTTATTATCTTATGCTTTATTTTATCTTGCTTTATTTTACTTTATGCTTTATTCATCATTCATTATCATGTTTATGTTTATGTACTCTTCTTCTTGTCCTCTTGGACTTTTATTTTGTTTTATTCTTAAAACATTAATAATCCAACTTGAACATTAAAAAAATTAAGACTCTTTATATACTATTGATTACTATCCTTGACATATTGGAGTTATGGATATTTTGGACTTAGGATTAGAAGCTGTGATACTTGGAGACCCTGAGACCTTTGAAATTTGTTTACTTATAATTATTCGACTTGTGTATTGGGAAATCTTCTATGTGCATGTGTTATCATGTTGGCCTTAAGTTATCTATATAGAACCTGGTTCAATAATGAAAATCTGGCTTTAGGGTTTTAATCCCTTGAATTTCTTTGATACTTCCTTACTTATGGTTTACTTTCATATGGTGATTGATATTCTCTTGGTCTATTTGTTACTTATTGCTTTGATCTAAAGGATGAGAATTCTACATTGACTTCATTATGTCAAGTGTTTCCTTCTTGTTTGGTTAGACTTTTACTTACCCTAGCTTTTACTTTGTGCTTTAGGATAGTCTCTTCATCTCTTGACCATCTTCTTTAATTTTCAAAATCTTCTCCCTCCTTTTCAAAACCCTTCTTGTTTTTAAACTTGAACCGCTTTCATAATAAACTTGGACTTAGGTACATGCATTTTTAAAACTCTTTTTCTTAATCAAATTTTAATCAATTTAATCACACTTTGACATCTTTTTGAACGACTAAAAGTCATTAATCTCATTCAAACTTTTTGTGTCTTAGTGCACTTTTTCTTTTAACCTTTTCAAAAAGTGTAAGACATGAGTCTTTTCTTTGAGTATTTTCAAACCTCTCCACTTTTACAAACATGGTAATATTGAAGTAACTTTCCACTTGTATGATGAGACTTACACTGTTGAGTTGGTACATGCTATAAGTTCTCCATATTTAAGTTGAAGCAAGTTTTCTCTTTACTATGATTGTCATAGTTTATTGGTTTTCCACTCAGATAAAACAAAATGTCTTTTATTAAAACCAATCATAACAAACCAATTTTGATCTTTTTTACCCGAACTACATGGATTTTGATTTCAACATTGCATATTGTTGGTATGTAGGCTTATATCTCATTGGAAACTTTATCAAATTAAAAATTGTAAAGAACTACTTCTTTTCTCATCTCCATAATCTATTTTGTACATATTTCTTTTTTATCCAAATACACAAATTTTCAAAGAGGTTCATGTTGAGTACTATATATGTTTAGGGTACTAATACCTTTCATTTGCATAACCACCCCCTTACTTTGACCTTTATTTTATCTTGGGTTTTATTCACTCTTTTCTCATTCCTTTGGATTAATAAAGTGTGGTGGCGACTTTCACTTTGTGAGTTAAGTCAATTAATGACTTAGTTTCAAATTTTTAGGGCTACAGAAAAATTGGAGACTTCACTAGGCAAGAGGAATCTCTAAGTGGGTTGAGCCTATCTTTGTTTGTTTGTGTATGTGCTATTATTTGTTGTATATGTGTATGTTTGTATGGATTTTTCTGTTTTTCAGGATGCTTGGTGATCTTTTATAAATCCTATACTCGAACTTGGAAAAACTTAAGATAGGATGGGCGGTATAATCACTTCAACTTATGTGGATAAAATCCTTAGAAAGTTGATTTGAAAACCCCCACTCAATGGAGGCCCCTTTGGGGTAGTATTTGTTGAACAAGCAAGTTGTGAAAACATTACTACTTTCGACCTGGGAGCCCGAGAAGCTGAGAGATGTGGAACCCTTAACCCATCTTGGATTTTTTAGGTGTAATGCGGAGACTATCCATGAGTCAATTCTGGTATAGTTATTACGCGATACTGCACTCAGACGAGTTTTTCCTGTGAATATTACTAATTACCGATTAAATTGGGACGTTGGTAATATCCAAAGGAAGAGCGTAGACTCTTGGATTTCTTAGAACCTTGATTTATAGGTGATTGAGCCCTTAGTTCATAACTTGTGGGTAGTGTCGCGGTGAAAAATCGAGGAGATCAAGCTATTGAGAAACTTGATTCACAATGACTTAAAAAGTCACCACCGAACTTTATTGTTTCCAAGGAAAAGGGAAAAGATCGAAACTTTATTGTTTAACATGCAATACAAGAAATAAATACTAAAAGAAAAGCATAAGGAAGATATCTAAGGTACGAGGGTTGGTTATACAAATGGAAGGTATTAGCATCCTATGTATCTATAGTGCTATATAGGAACCACTTATAATATCTGTTTTTTTTTGTTTAAAATTGTTTGTTTGCTAAATGAGTGTGGAGATGTGGAAAGAAATATATTTTAGGATATTTTTATTTAGAAAGAAATAGTCTTATACCGATGTACAAATTAAGGATCAAAACCTCGTAGTTCGTGGTAAAAATGACAAAAGGGTTTTTTGTGGTTGATTTTAGGAAAAAAGATATTTCATCATCTTTTAGAGAGAAATCTCAACTAATACCACCACAAGTATGCGAAGATGGATCTTTCATAATTATGAAGGAATGACTACTAACTCGGATATAAAGATCAATAAGTTTCCAACAAACATCTTCATGTGGAAAGAATCACATTTACTTCAACAATTACTATGGGGAAAGGAGAATCATATCTAAACTATAAAGAAGATTTATATCTAATCTCTTTGAGAAAAGTTTTAAATTGAAAAGCCAAATAGAAAAAATATTTGGGTGATGTTAAGTCACTTTTAGTCTTTTGAATGAGTTTTAATATGCTTAAGTATATTGAAGCATTTGATTAAAGAAAAAAAGGTTTGAAAATGCAATGACACAAAGTCAAGATTTTTATACGAAAGAGGTGAAAGTTTTAAAAAGAGTTTTATGGTTTAAGTACAAAAAGTTTTAGAGTACATGAGGATACACAGGGTGAATATTCACAAGAGTTTTATACAAAAGGGAATGCACATGCATATGACTTTGTAAAGTCAACGAAACTATCACCTTTCCTTGTATTTAGGGGCACAAGTGTAAAATATTAATTACTAACAATAGAAAACACACACATCACAAGTGTTAAAGGAGAAAGTCAACATACTTAGCAAGTAAAAGTTGTGACAAAAGATAGAATAAACAAACAAGTAAGCAAGAAAGTATGGTATCACTTTGGATTAAAGGGAGTTTATGAAGGAAATACATCCTTAAAGATAAGTAACTTATAAAAACATGGATGAACAATCAAGAAAGATCAAAGCATTGTGAAGTTCAAAGTCATGGATCATGAATTAGGGTTTTTGAATAAGTTATGATTTAAACAACAAAAAATCAATTCCTAAACTTAATTGAAATCAAGTTTTTCAATGGTACAAAATGTACAAGGGTCATGGCATTAAGCATAATTCATCACAAGAGATGGTATGATCATCTAAAAAATATTTTAATTTAGAAGTCAATAGAAAACCAAAGAAAAAGTCTTTTAAAACTACTAAGAAGGACTTGTTTTTGAATTAAATAAATAAAAGTGAAATAAATAATATTTTTTGGGATCTTTTCAAATAGTCATGAAATAAAGGTGATAAATGAGAAGTGTGTAAAAATCAACTAAAATGAGTTGTTTTCGTTGGTGAAAAATTAAGTTGAAATTGTTAACAAAAGTGAAGAAAATAAGTGATAAAATAAAGGGTTTTGCCTCATCCAGGTCTTGAACTCACGCCCATAGGTTCATTGGCCAAAAGCCTTACCAACCAGGCCACTGCTTGCCTTCTGAATATATAACACGCAGAAATAAATATATGGGGTTTAAGTGACTGAATGTGCAAAAAAAATAAAATGGAAAAAGGTAAAAGGGGGGGTTCACATTGGTTCGAACTCGCACCCTTGGAGACAAAGAGACATGAATATGCACGCTGCTACACTAGAGTGGCTATACATCCAATGTTATAAACACAAACAAACAAATAATAAAACAAGTTTTGAAAAATGAAAATGTCACCCCCACCCTTTTTCTTCCCCGAGCCTGTAACAACAACATCAACCACAGACAAAATTCCAAGTCCCCTGTTTCTCAACCATT